AGAGTATAGCCATCTACTGGGAGATAATGAGCTTCATTATGCAGTTAGTTGGCCACTGTGAGAACAGATTAGATGGGGCAGGGATCCAGTTCAGAAGGGCACTGCATATGTTCTTATGATATGTTTCATTCATGGTCCTGACATTATGGAATAGCTGCCCCCTGAGATACTGGGTATTTGCAAAGTTGTCAGCATTAGTTTATTCAGATAATGGTGAATCTGGGTTGCTTTTTGGTTCCTGATTTTGATTTTAATGTACAATGCATTTTATGGGGAGGATTAGAAGGATGGGTTTAGTGTTATGTTTTAATGTTATTGCTGCAAACTTCTGTGAATATGACAATTTGATGATACACAAATGTATGTAATAAATAATAAGTAAATAATGTGGTTTTTCTTTCTTTTTCAGTACCACTGATGTTGGAAAAGGAGAATGACCCTGTTATTAATGCCAGTTCCAGTAGCCTTACCTTAATATCGAGTATATGTCTGACTACAGAGCAGTTTGAGAGGACATGGCTAAACCTGGCTGTTGGCTGCCAGCAAGCCATTCCATGGCAGGAAACCGTTCAGCCAGAGACTTTGCAGGTTGCCCTGCAGATGGTCCATATTCAGACAATTGCAATGAGCAAGCCTGGTTCACAGTCATGGAAAGTCTACCTAGGGGCACAGGATGACACAGGCTGCCTTTTCCTAACTGAGCTGCTGCTGGAGACAGGAAATGCAGAGATGCAGATGTTAGTGAAGCAGACTGAAAACAAGCTAGAAGCCCTGCAGGCATTTGTCTCACTCTTGAAGACAGTTCTGGAGACAGTGGCAGGCCTGACATCCTGATTTTTTTCCAGTTTCTGGTGTTGGTCATAGGCAGGAAGAGATAGCAGTTTTGTATATGGTTTATTTATTGTATTCTTTAATGAAGCTGTCATTCTTACAAATTGTCAGTAAAGGCTTTCTACAGCATAACTTTTAGCGCAAATGAAAACTGTATGTTTAGAAAGATATGCAGAGAAACCAACCATCCTTGAAAGGCAAAATAAGATCATGTTTATGGACAAAAGGAACTTTGTATATATCTAGAGAAGTAAAATAGGAAGACCTGAGATTTCAGGATGAAGGTAAATTAAGGAGGATTTGTGTGTTTGGAAGATGTCACTAAGCAATATTCCCTCTAACATCTGACAGCTGCTTGTGGAAAAATTAGTTTTGTGCAGCTTTTTCTAAACCAAGTACAAATTTCCTCTCCACGATATGAACATATGAGTAAATTGCAAATAGAAATAGCAATTATAATTTTATTTCTGCTTAATTTCAAATTTATTTATTTATTGAAATCATATGGCCACCTGTTTTAAATAGAATAATCTCATAATAAAAACAATAAAAACAACAATAAAACATTCATGTCACTCATACACAAAGGAGCACATTCCCTTTCCATTGTTCTTCAACTGATAATTGCAATCAGTGTTTTGTATGCATCTTAAATAGTTTCTCTGGATGGGGAATTTTGATATTGTAATAAAAGAAAAACTAAAGAAAGAAATACATTATTCAAAATAATTTAGATTGCCCTTTCATTTTCTTGTCCATTCTTTGCTTCTCTGAATGTATTCTGAGCTTATATTTTAATCATAAAGGCTGATACCTTTTTTCAAAGTTAATTAACATGGAGCTCATGTGGCCCCAAATTCAACAGATATTAATTAAACCTTTTTTGGAGCGAGGTGCTCCTTGAACAGAAGGCTGTGAGGTCCTGAGCAGGTGGGCTGCAAATGCAAGGTTGAGAAATTGCTGTTGCCCATCTGCCTGGAGCCTCAGGCTACCGGTAATAGCTCTAGCTCACTGCCTTGGGAATACCGATCAATCCTACTGAATGAGGGGTGGTGACCCTCCCTGCTGCAGGTAAGTTGAGTCAGCAAACTTGTGGAGGACTCCTTGTGAGTTGCAAGGCTGGAGTTTTGTTATGACTAAATTTATTATTATTTAAACTTAATTGTGCAAGTGCTTGATGTAGATGCTAAGTGAGTGGAGTAGCAAGGTTGTTTCTTTAAAATCTTTGTATTGATTTACTTCCATTTAGATGCTATTTCATTCCCAACAAATTGGGGGCTAATAGTGCATTACAACTAGGGTTAAAAATTAATAATAACTATTCATGATAAAATTGCAATCAAATCAATCATTCTATCATTCAGAGCTGATATGATCTTATCCCCAAAAGCCCCCTTGAAAGCTATGTTTTCATGTAAAAGGAAGAGTGCTAGTTCAGATGGCAGTTCAGTGGGAGGCAACATGCATCTGAAGTGATTTGCTCTTACATGGATTCTTTCCTAGGCTTACTCAGCAATCAGAGAGCATATATTTGCTTCAGCTCTCTAAAATTTCTTACTGTGCATAGGAAAGAAATCAGAATAGCTTAATATTCAAATAGCTGGTCTAAAATACATTGTATTTTAAAAACTCATACTAATACTGAAGGGAAAAATATAAAGATAGATTCTTTGACCTTAGGAGGTTTAAAAAATGTGTATGCTTTTCTCAGGAAAATTGTGTCATTTTCAAAGTTCTTTTGCTGTCTCTGCAACTCAGGTAAATTTGCTGCCGGCCCTTGTTACTTTTCTGTGCAGGAATTAGTTGTTCTGCTCTGGAAGAAAATGGCTGTAGCAGGAGAGAATGTTGCATCCTATTTTATATCAGCCCAGGTTAAATTTATATGCTGTGCTGGGGGAAAAAAACGGCATATTTTTGGATGGGCTGCCCTCATTTTCCTTCTCCTTTTTTACTTAGCACTTGCATTGGAGAAGACACTGCATGCTGCTTTTGCCAGTTCAATAATCCTTCAGAGTTTCATGCAGTGAAAGTTAACTCTCACTCAAGAAAAGCACTGCATCCTTCCAGAATTAAGTTACATTTCTTTCCCTAGGTATACGTTGATTTGCATTCTTTCCGCTTGGAGTCCCATACTTTTTACTCTTCAAGCTGACACGATGTCAAAACCCAGGAAAAACTGGAATGATGTCACGATTACACAATGTTCCCCACCTCTCCTGTGCATGTTTTAATTCAAAACAAGCCTCTTAGAAAGAAGAGAAGATGCTGTTTGACCCCCTGTTGCCTTGTGGCTAAGAATCACATCCCATTGAAAGGAATAATTAGGTTCTTTGAAGCCTTTTATAAAAAACATTATTTTGGGAAATAGGTTCCAAAGTCCAAGAAAGGGAGAAGAGCTCTATTGTCATTCGGTTTCTTCTGTAGCAGGGGTTCTCAATCTTGGCAACTTTAAGACTTGTGGACTTCAACTCCCAGAATTCCTCCCAATTCTGGGAGTTGAAGTCCACAAGTCTTAAAGTTGCCAAGGTTGAGAATCCCTGTTCTGGAGCATGAGGAAAACAGCTGCTGCTTCTTTGCAGGCAGGAAAAAGCCTTTTCTCACCGGTATAGCAGAACTGCTCTCCTTGAGGATACACAGGTGAAGCAGCCTATTTCATTTGCAGTTTAATAGTACTAAAAGTTTTGGCACTCTATTGTGAAGTCAGAAAGCCAGGGATGTAAAAGAGGACTTAGAGTATATATCTCAGATCTAGTTCAAACAAAGTGAGGAAGTGGGAAAGCATAGGCAGACTTGCCAGATACAGTTCAAAAATGTAGTCTGACTGATACGGCATTGGTTTCTTAATCTGGTCTGCTTTAATAAGACTGACAAAGAGTGAAATCTTGCAAAAAAGTGACTGCCTGGGAAGGAGAGGAGGGAGAAAGAAGAAAGCAGCTAGTTGCCTGGAGAAGGGTGCACATTATGGCTTGGGAAAGGAAAATATCCCCCTTTAAAATTTCTTCTTTTAAGCCCATTTTATTGTATCAGACAAGCTGAATAAAACGTACTGGTACTGTCCAAATATACTTGAATTCTTTAAGAGTTAAAATACTTTTCTACATTCTGAATTAGTGGGTCTTCCCCTTTAATTACAATCTTTCTGGTTGGCTATAGTAACCAGCCTTTTCTTTCATCCACAACATTTTCCCAGGAAGAAATTTCTTAAACTCAAAATCTTTATATATTTTAATAAGATTTTAAACAAATCACAGCAAGTACTTTTTGTGTTTTAAAATCTTATTTTCAGTCAATCTGACTCTTAGTCTGTTTAAAAGGTTTCCAAAATTAACACTGTAATTACCCTTTTTTATTTCCATTTTTTTAAAAAAAAACACGTTTCTATATGTTTTAAACTTAAATAAAGGTTCTTTCATTGTAAGTTGAAGGAAATCATCTAGGGTAATAAAACCTGCTCTTCTGCAGGTTCTTAATATAAAAAAATGCAAACCATTTCCAGTAAAAGTTGTGAAAAGGGGAAGTGAGTGAACTCAGCATCCTTTTGATGGCTCTGAACTACGGTTTTAGCAATGCTAACTCTCCTGGCTCCCAGAGCTCCAAAATCCTCCCAAGACCACTGTTACCTGGTCTTGTTGTAGAGAACATCTGTTAGAAGCCCTCTGAGCAATCCCAAAACTTCTCCCTGATCTAGAGAGGAGTTTGGGGAGCCAATTCCATTCACTGGTTCCACTTTCCACTATGGCTTCTGGCTCCACTAAAAGTGAAGTTGTCTTCAGTCCACCATTGCTTCCACGGAAGTGCCCCTCAGAAGGCATTGAAGACCTGTTTATATCCCTGGACCTAAGGTCTCGTGAATGTGAAAGGCTCTGTTTCCTGGTTATGTTAACGTCTATGGATTGTAATATTTCTTGACTGCTATACGCATAATATATTCACAGGTTCACTGGACTTAGGCAGCCAATAAATTTAAATAAAAAACAATACATATATAGAAGTTCATATAGATAGCAGTGCTGAGCCAAGCTTAGCTGATCTTTAAAAGCAATGAAGGAGAACTCCCAGTTAGAAGCTGGATGGGGTAGTATGAAGAAACAACAGGGTTGACCTTAGAATACAAATTGGGGGAGGGGGAGGCAGTAGCAAATAAATTCCACATTGTTAAAAAAGCCTGCATAGATGGATCCATAAAACTGTTGGGGGTCAAGATAAAATTGAAGGGGACTTTATACTTGGAAAACCCCGCTCCTCTTCAGTGTGAGGAAAGGGTTGTGAAATATTATAAAGTTACAAACATGAGATTTATAAAATGCATCTAGAGTAACTGAAAAAATTGTTGAAAAAAATAGATATCTGCTTAATGAGACATGTTATTGCTGATACAGCCCCATAAAAATTCCCTGGTGTCCAAAGGTTGTGTAATCAATGTCAAATATTATATTCTACTTCCTTTTAGTCAATTGTGTATCTTGAATGGTAGAAGAGAAGCATTGGTGGACTTGATAGTCTGAAACACTTCTGGTAATTAATGTTTTTTAGTTATTATAGATGACAATATCTTAAGATGATGATAGCGTGGCTACACATGTATCACAGAAAATGTAAATAATTTTACTTTGTAAATTATGTTCCTTGTTTTGAGCTGTAAATGAAGGAAGTTGCTGGAGACTTTTTATGCTTGATTTCTTCTAGACAACCGAAGAAACAACTCTTAGCAAGATAAGGCAAAAACCTCTATTTGAAATACATACCTGAACATGAACCACTCAATGACGTTTGAAGAACAAACAGAACAAATTGTGGAAGCATTGTTCACTACTCTTTGCTTAAAGAAGCAAGAGTTACAAGTAACTGATCGTGGCCTAAAGCTCCACTCGGAAAATGAAATCCATTTACAAGGTACAAGGGTTTCTTTCAAAACTAAATTGTGGTGTGATAGGGAGAGTGGCTTTGTATTTCCTGAATTTTGAAGTCAGGACCAGCTGCTGGATTTTCTTGCTTGGAATAAAAAAAAAAAAAAAAAGTTTTTGTTAGAGACCAAAAGTAGTTTCTTTAGGCTGTAGTGGTTTTTGTTAGAGACCAAAAGTAGTTTCTTTAGTTTCTTTAGTGGAAACCACTAATTTAAAGGATTTTAGACCTGTCATCTTAATTGATCAGTTACATTTAAATAAACGGTTAAAATCCCAAACAAAGATTTAAAAAATTCTTGCATTTAAGAAGCAAGAAGAAATTGTTTAATTCTGAAATATGTCTGTAATATCAAAAAACTTCACTCTTAACTCATAATAATACTCCAAAACAAGTTTTAAAATTGAACAGTACTGTTTTAAATCTACTGCTTATTAATTAAGACATTAGTTGATTTTGATAAAAGAATTTTCCTGGTCCCTTTTCCAAGTCAGGGTATTGCAAATGAAATGCAAGGCATGCTGCTGGTGGAAAGCAGGTGATGCATTTATTCTCCAAAACAAAACAAAGAAGTTCGCTCTTGGGGGTAGGCGAGAGAGGATGAAGTGATTGGAACAAGTTTTGTATAGGGGATTTGGTTCTTTGTGTTTAAGTATGTGCATGTAATTGTGTGTGGGGTGGAAGTGAACATGACCATTCTGGTATATAATTATGGCAAGGGAGCAATTTTAAATGTTTTTTTTTTCTATAACTTCTTTCTTAGCCTTCTATATCAGTGGTTCTCAACCTTTCTAATGCTGCGACCCCATAATATAGTTCCCCATGTTGTGGTGACCCCCAACCACTTATACATCACCGGGTGCCAGGGGCGTGGCCAAAGAAAAGGGGAAAAAATGGCGGACAGCCTTGTTTGGCGACCCCCATGAAATGGTTGTTCGACCCCAAATAGGGTCCCGACCCACAGGTTGAGAACCACTGTTCTATATGGTGTCTAGTTATCCCTTTTGTGGGTGAAGGGAAGCATGAGCATAAGAGTTTTTTCTTTTAATTTCCTTTGCCAGGTTGATCAGTATCAGTTCTTTGTTTTGGCCATGTGTGCTGATAGTGATTTTTAGTTACATTATATCTATTTGTCTGCAACATAGTTTCTTGCCCCTGATGTTGAGACTTTAAGGAGGCAGGTTTTAAACACAGACAGCCCTATAGCAAAATCAATCCTTGAGTTTTCAAAATCCTAAACTACTAAACTCTTGTTTCAGTAGCAGGAAAGATGAGATTATATGAAAAATATCTCATAATTATATATATAAAAATAATTATGTATATTTTAAGAACTCTGCTGGCCAGTAGTTAAAGGGCAGTATTGCAGGCGAACTCTGTCGACAGCCTGGAATTTAATCCTGATGGGGTTGAAGGTTGACTCAGCCTTCCATCCTTCCGAGATCAGTAAAATGAGGAGTCTATATGCTGACATTGTAAAGAGTGTTGCAAAGCCCAATAGAGCTAAATGCTAATGCTATTGCTAATTACTGCTCTGTGTAATAACTGCAAATGGGAACATGTGTATGCAATAGGACAATGATGGTATTTTCCATAGCCATTTAGTCCATGGTCTTTGCAGATATCACGAGGCATGAAAGTGAGCATATGAAAGTAACATAAGAATCAGCCCCAAAATTGAAACTGAAACCAAATAGGTCAGTTTATTCTGTGCAATCATTTGTGAAATCATTGTGTGAGGGATACCAAATTCTATCTCAGACACATCAGTTGTGAAGTAGATAATTTACTCTGAGTATGCTATGTGACATTTTGAAGCTTACAACCATTATATATCTAGATGTCACTTGTGCAATGTATCTGTTACTTTGATAATATCCATTAACTTTCCTCCACTGCTTTTAGCTTCATAGTTATGCAAGCTAGGCTAGCTGAGTGAGCTTTCTCCTTCGTTCTTTCTTTCCAGGTCCTTGTTCTCAAAATCTCTTAAGAGCGGAGCCCCAGGGAATCAGGCAGAGAGGTGAGAACTGTGGTTGAGAGCTATGGGTGGGTAAGGGTAAGCTATGGTCCGGCACTATGGAACATTGGGAGGTGTGTGGGTACCACAGGGGAACAGGGAAGGTGCCAAAGGCAAGGACTATAGAGCATAGGCAAGTGGAAAAACAGAAGGAGCAACTTGCAGCTTCCTGCCAGCTCCCCCACTGACTTTGCTGATTGGAAGCCAATAGGAAATGTCAGAAGTTATGATCACATGACTACAAGGATGCTGCATTAATCACAACTTCACAAACTGTTTGCAAGTCCCCCTTCATTCAGCACTTTCGTAGCTTTGAATGGTTGCTGAACAAGTGGTTGTAATTACCTGTATTTTTTTAAATAAGCAAATTTAAATTCTCTTTAGCTAAATTTAAAATGTAGATAAATGTTATATGGACATGTCAAAAGGATTGGAATTGAAATGGAATAGAAATTGAATTAGAATATTTTTATACAGGGAAAGAAAATGTAAATCTGTATTGGCTTTCTGTTAACCAGTAGTTGATTCTGCAAGCAGTTTTGATCCAGTTGATATTGCCAATTTACTGCAATCCATAGGAGATCAGTACAACGGAGAGATGGAGGGCCAGGTACAGGCAGTTATTGCAGAAGAGAGCACAACAAAGGTAATTTCTAAGCATTCTGGTCCAAATTCTTTTAGTTTTAGTTTACCATTAACTAATATCCATGTAGATGTAAATTATGCCAGAATACTTTTCTATGGTCTTATAGATGCAAAGCATTTTATATTGGCTGCTTTAATCTGTCCTAGTTTAATATGTTTTATGCTGTTTTTTAAAAAATAGTAATTTTGTTGAATGCTACAATTAAAAAGGTATGAGCTAATACAAACTTAAAAAAAGAATAAAAAGAAAACCCAAATGCAGAAAAGAAGCCAAAATAGAAAAGAAAAATAATATAGTAAAAAAATAAAAGAAAAATATAATGAAATAACTTTCCACTCCATAACAAGTATAAACAATTTTAGAAACTTATCACCTTCTCTTAAAATACAACAAATGATCTATTCTTCCAATATGCATTATCTATGAACAAATCTTTAAAGCTTTATTATTACAGAGTTAACAACATACCTATATAACCTTAATCACATAAAATAACTTTATATCTCTTCCTTTTACTTTAACAATCTTGATCTTTAATCCCTTCAAATAATGTCCTGGAACTTAATTTCTTTTCATTTTTTCCTCTGTCCTTTCTCACAAAATCCTTCAAAACTTTAACAAAAGTCTCTTTTGTAAATACCATGTAGGGAAGACATGCAGGCCACTCTTTTGATGTGTTACTTGTAGATCCCTCTTAATTATTAAGACATCACAGTTTCTCTTGCATGTTTGGTCTAATAATGGTTAAGGTGCAGGAGATTATGAGTTCTACTTCTGTGTTACAGGCATGGAAGCCAGCTGGGTGACCTTGGACCAGTCATTCTCTCTCAGCCCAACCTACCTCATGGGGCTGTTGTTGTAGGGGAAATAGGAGGAACTACTAGGTAGCAACACCCTTGAGTTATTTATAAAACTTAAAAAAAGGTGGGATATAAACAAACAAACAAATACTCAGTGTAGCATTTTTTCCATATCTTTCTTATTGCCCAGTGATGGCGAACCTTTTAGAGACTGAGTGCCCCAAACTAGCCCCGCCTCCGCTCCACCCCTGCCCTGCCCCTGCTCTGCCCACACCCTGCCTGCCCGCAGAACCACTCACCACCTCCAGGGCCCGCCGCAGATCGCCCAGGCAGCCCAGCAGCACCATGGCGACCACGTCCTCTGCCCACACTCTGCAGCATCAACTTTGCGTGATGGGATGTGAGGACAGAGTCTTGTCTACACTGTCTGGCTGACATGTCCTTGGCTGTGCTGCTCCGCATGGGCTACACTTGAGGGCGACCGTCCTCCAGGGGGGCTGCTCGTGAGGAGGGGGTCATGGGGGTGGAGGCTGGGGCAATGGCACATGTGCCCACAGAAAGGGTTCTGAGTGCCGCCTCTGGCATCCATGCCATAGGTTCGCCACCACTGTTATAGCCTGTCATTTTAAAAAACCCTTTCAAATCAGTCTCAGCCTTGCCTAATAAAACTTGTTCCTCTTCCGTAATATCTTTTAAGCATAGCCTTTCTATAATGGTGAAGTCTTTTAAAATTAGCTCCATTCTGTATATTAGTGAGTCAAATTTAACTTTTCTCCTTTAATAATCTTTAGTTCCTTCTAGTTCCCTCTAGTGTCCAGTTTTCAAAGTGCCATCCTATAATTTCTTAAAGAATTCAAAATAACAGTATTTTCTCATTGGAAAGAGTCTTATAATTAATTTCAAATTTTTACTTCAAATCCATCTGAACCCTTAGGCCATTTGTAACTTTCCGAAATCAATGTTCTAGTCATTCTTTTTTTCCTTTTATTGAAAAAAAAAACTGACAGTGGTAAACAAATACAGGCTCAAGCCCAGAGATCCAAACAGAGAATTTGGTATCAGAAATCAAGGTTTAGAGGGTGCAGCATAATAAAGTAAGCTCACTTCAGGGAAAGCCTGAAAAAAGAGAAGGTTTTGGAATTATGCCAAAAAAATAATATGGATGTTGTTCTAGTGATTGAATGTTATTAGGCAGGGTGATTCCAACAGCAGATAGTAGAAGTCACCCTCTCTTAAGAGGACTTTGTTCCAAGGTAACCTTTTAAAAACAATCTGGCACTTGCCTATTTGACATCATTATTTCATATTTGTTGTCTCTTCACCAGCTCTTGATCTTTATCTTTTTCCTAAGAAAAGCCTGGTTGGTTTCTGAAACCTAGACTATTCTAAGCTTTAATTGAAATACTTTAAGTGTTATGATCATCAAATACTTTTGTTGCACAAGTAGAACAAAACAGATCTTTGATCCTATTGATAAATGTTTGATTTAAATTTTAAGGTGAACCAGAGCTGTTCCCCACCATAAATACCAGTTGTCTTTCACTAGTTGCATTTTTTAAAAAAAAATATTCACTCTATGTTTACAGATAAAGAAATTTGGAGAAGTAGCAAAATCTCTCAGCAGGATTTGGATCAGTCAGACTCCTGGGTTAGAGCCTGTAAGTGCTTTTCTAGCTGTTGCTGTGAAGTTGTTTGAGCAACTTGTAGAGAAAACTCACGGAGATCACCACCAGATAAACATACTCACAGAAACGATCAACAGAAATCCTGAAGTCAGAGGCTATATTGAAAGGCAAGGTGGCTGGGTAAGTTAAGTTAATGTTTGACTGTGACTTAGCACTTGGATAGATTGCATTTAAAGGCCAACCTTCAAAAGCTGAAAAAACAGAAAAAAATAGCTAGTAGAACAATATGAATTACTATTCCATTAATTCCAGTGAACAAAATTATTAAACAGTCAATGATTATGTTCGTTGGAAATTTTGATGTTGCATTCCCAACCAATCTGAAAGCACCACATGGAAAATTTTCAGGATCCTATTTTAAAGATGTATTCCTCGGTTTTAACTGAATTTTTCTAAATGTAAAACAATCTGCACTAATGCAAAATGATCCACTCCTTTCTCACATGCACACGAGTGCAGAGTCTCTTATATCCTGATTCATGGATGTCACTAATCTGCAAACCCCAAACAACAAGCAGAAGGAGCTGATTGCTAATAACAGGCAGGGAGAAGGCAAGCTCCTTCCATATTTAATGGATGGGACCATATTCTTCTCTTGTGCAATGATATTCCCTCTGAGTATAAGGTATGGGGGTAAATATAGTGGCATCTACTGATGTCATCTTCAGGTCTTAAATCAAAATCCCAATGTATTTCACAACATTGGGATTTGGGATCTTTACTATATACTTTTGAGAAAGGTCATTTGTTGCTCCTTCCACCCTTATCTAATTACCAATATTTTTCTGTTGTTTTTTTTTTAGGATAATCTTGGAAGAAGTCTAAACAGCCCATAGTTTCTTGCTTCCAATATAAAAAAAACCACCTGCTATTATGGAGAAAATAGAGTTGCTTCAAATGTGGAAATGGAACTGCAAATGAATTGAAAAGGCTACATACAATTCTGCAAAGAAACAAAATAAATTTAATTTAAAAATAAAATCGTAATAGCTTGATTTTCCTTGCAATTAAATTGTCGGTGAAGGAATTTCATAGATAATTCCTGCAGCCACAATTCCATATAATACAATGCATCAGTTCCCCGCTTTAGTAGATCATGAATTCCTTGGTCCTAGTTTTTAATATATTCCTGTTTCATACAAAGGAAATGTCCATATCTAGGAAGACAGGAGCATTACTTGCATCTCATTTTCTTGCATTGTTAGTTGGTGTCAGTTCTTTATATGTAAACATTTGCTGGATAAATGTTTATCAGGAAAAATATTGTAAAGTACGTTAGAAAGCTTTAACTAACCATATTAGTATTTGAAGATGGTAGTTAAGAATACCTAAGAATAAGAAAGATAGAAGAAATATGAGTTATTACAGTTTAAGGCTGTGAAATATATGCCTTATCTGGAAACTTACTTCATTTGAACCAATTTATTATGATCATGTGTAGTATCTATATATAACAAGATATAATTGATTTAGAAATTTGAATTACTTAGAAGTAATTGCTATGAAGCATTCTGTCTTATTGACAGTTCTTTCTTTTTTAATAGATGTGGTGTGACTGGCTGTTCCCTTCTTGCTTGAAAATCTTTGTTTTTGAGCAAATTCTACTTTCATATGTCAAACCTTGTTCCATCTCACATCCTTCAAATGTATTGAACTACACTTCCTATCAAGCTAGCAGAGCTTCAGCTTGGGAAATGTTGCATTAGATTATATTGATCCTGTTTAAAATAGTAATTTTGGGGAATGCAGAAATTTTTGACTAAAATGAAGTATATGTCTCTATATGTTTCTTCTAAGAGCCCTGGTGGCACAGTATAGAATGCAGTATTTCAGGCAAACTCTGCCAACAGCCTGGAGTTCAATTCTGACAAGATTTGGGGTTGATTCAGCCTCCTATCCTGCCAAGGTCAATAAAATGAGGACCCTGATTATTGGGGGCAATATGCTGACAGCCCAGAGAATGCTTTAAAGCACTATAGAGTGGTACGAAAGTCTAAGTGCTACTTAAGGAAATTCAACTATTTTCTAGAATGTGTTTAAAGAAATCAGAATCAAAGAAACAATGAAAAGAAGTAGGATTATCCACTGTATCTGTCTTCATGAACTATAATTCCAGTTCTCAAAGGAAAGAAAATTATTGCAATCTTGAAAAGAGTCATTTAGGCCAATAAGTCCAACTTCTTGCTCAGTCCAGGAATCCAAATGGAAGTTTCCCAGACACATTATTGTCTAGCCAATAAGGCAAAGCTCACATTTTAGGTAATTGGCTCCCCTGCCAAACTATTCTTATTGAATGGAGGCTTTGTTTTCTTTTAATCAATCTGAACCTATCTGTGTATTGCACTCTAGAAAGGGAGACTGTATGATATCTGTGTCAGTATTTGAAAAATACCATCACAATCATCTTTACTCAGAACTAAACCTCATGAATTTCCTCAATTTCTTTTGATAGGTTTGATTTCTAACTTCCTTATTACCCTTGCAGCTTTTCTCTGAACCTGTTCAAGTTTGTATGAACTGGTACCACATGTACACCACTTCATTAAAATCTGGTGTTCAGGACTTTAAAAGCATGCAGATTAAAGTGCAACTATTATTTCCCATTCTCTGGAAACTACACTTCTGTAGAAACAGGTTACATTTTCATTTTCCATTTGCCTCTACAATGCATGGCTGACTCATATTCTGTTTGTGATCACTTACTGTTTCAAGGTTTTTTATACAGACATCATTACAAGCCAAGTACCCCCCCATTCTATACTTCTGCTTTTGATTTTTGTTTCTTTGCATTTAGATTTTTCTGTTACTCACTTCTTGAATCTGTCAAGATTGTTTCAAATGTTTAATTGTCACCCATAGTATTAAGTATTCCATCCAATTGTGTGTCATCTGCAAAACTGATAAGCAATAACTCAAGGTTATCATTTTTTAAAAAATGAGTTCCAAACTAAGGACTAAAATCTTGACTTCCCCGTGCCTAGCCCAGTACCTTAACCATTAGAGCAGTGTTTCTCAGCCATGGCAACTTTAAAGCATGTGGACTACAACTCCCAGAACTCCTCAGCCAGCATGGCTAGTAGGGGAATTCTGGGAATTGAAGTCCACAAATCTTAAAGTTGCCAAGGTTGAGACAAACTGCACTAGACCATACTTATTCTCATTTATGCTTATTCATGGTTAACATAGGCAGTTTAATTCAACAGTGGGCAAAGACCATCATTTTTCATCTGTGGGATGAAGGCAACTCTATTCATCTAGTTGTGCTGAGAGTTCAAGTGCTAGAAACCACAGCTAGAACTGACTCTGATTGTCAAGTGGAAGAAGGCTTAGATAATAGAATATATAATTTTAACTCTAAGTTATTTTTCCTCACAACAATAACAGATGGATGGGCTGAAAAACTGTGACTGACACAAAGTTACTCAGTAAGCTTTCATTACCAAAGGTGAACTAGAACCTGAATGTCTCCACTTCTGTTCCAGCAGCCTAACTAGCACACTTCTGGTTAAAAGAAAAACCAAATTCCCTCTTCATATCTGATCTAGATGCCCCCCTCCCCCCCAAAATTGACTAATACAATATATAGTTTTTCTTGTCTCTTCTCTACCTCTTTGAGATGTGTCAAGAGAAAGCTGTGGGTATTATTCCTATTTTTTTTCATCCAACAAAGAAGTATTTTTTTTATTATCTGAATTTTACAATGCATGGTGTTAGTAACATGTTTGCAGGAGAACTGATCTTTTGGTGTCACTGTGAAGGAAAATATAATTAGGAGGAAGAGAGGTTAAATTAGATGTAGAACTGAAGTGCAAATTTGTGGCAACTTTGACCACAGGACATTAAATGGAGGGGGAAATCCTGACATAGTTACAAGCTTCTCCTGCCCCCCCCCTTGCCTTTCCTTTACTGTCAAGGCTTTAGTCCAATCTATCTTTCCATAATTTTAATCTCCTGCTACATTTAATCTTCTTGTCTTGTGAATTCTACCAATTATTTTTCCATCTGATATCAAATAATGATATCAAACAATACGCCCCTAAAGTTCTGGGCTATTTTCTAGTCTTTTTTTCATAAATATGGATTTCAAATGGGGCAAATGTTCTCAAAAATCAATTATTTCAGTACTTTAAATTGTTGAAAAAAGAAATAGCTTGTTTACAGGAAATGCATATTAGAAAAAAGGATATAAAATATCTAATTTGCAAAAATTTGGTGAAGAATTTATTTTAATGGGCACCAAAAAGAGAAATGAAGTTGTTTTGTATATAAAGCCCCAATTACAACCAAAACTAAGATTGACTGTTGATTGTGGTAAATGGGGGGGGGGGAAGTACTTTGCATGGGACTAAGAGTCTGATAAAGGCAAATTTATGCTCCAAATGAGCATAAAAATAACATTTTACAAAGGACTTATAAAATAATGGACTTACCATAAAAAATTGGTGTTTAATGGGAAATTGGAATGGAATAATTTGTTCAGAGGAAGATATTAAAACAATACATGGTAAAATACCAAATGTCGAGCAGCACGAAGCTGAAAACACCAGCCTGAAGATGACGAATGGGACTTCGTCGAAACGTCGCCAAGACACTTCCAATTTTACGTGGGAAAAAACCCGAACAACCAAAGACCTACATACAAACACCCGCAAAAACCTCAGAAAACACACATACATACATACATACATACATACATACATACATATATATATATATATACAGGAAGTTTTTCAGACAGATGTCTAATTGATTACACCTTGACATTTTTTAACTGCTATACTGCAGTTTTACTTTTTACAATCTCTTTTGCCTTGCAGCCCCCAACTAGGGGCATTAAGCAGGCTCAAGTCGCAACTGTGAAACATTACAAATCCAAATTTCTTTTTCTGACAAAGAATTAAAGAATTAAATTGGGAGACTAAGATGGCCATTTCGAGCTCATTCTGCTCTCTTCAGTTAGCCACACCTTTTATGGGATTCGAACCTGGGCAGTTTACATACTAGGCACCCCAGTTTTAGACTTAGTCTCTTTGCTCTAAGACGCATTTTTTCTTCGCTCCTGGAGCAGAAGACTGTGTATTTTCCCTTTTTCTTATTCTGTTAGCCTAGCTCTAACTACTCATTTTTCATTATTTAATTGATTTCATTAATTTCATAATATAAAGAAGATTTCCAGCGATTGGAATCATTCTCACCTGACTGCCCGGCCAGGCTGACAGGCTGGGCATCCATAGACCCTTTATTTCCTCTCCTCTTCCGAGAGCTTCCTTGAATTGCTGCTAACAGAGCCAAGCTCTAGTCTGACTTTTACAACTGACTGCAGCTCCGGAAGCTCCGAAACTTCACCAAGGCCTGAAGGCGTTATCGGGCCTAGGCCAGTCTCAGCGTCTCCCAGCTGACCATCCAAACACCCTCCACTGTGTTAGGAGCCCAGGCGATTCTCTGGAATGAGGGCTCATCACAGCTTAGGCCTCAGGCCTCACAGGCCTTCCTTCCAACAGCCGTTTTTGGCGCGCAGAGCTGCGGCCGCCATTTTGAATCCTCCGCTGCGTTAGGAGCCCAGGTGATTCTCTGGAACGAGGGCTCATCGCAGCTTAGGCCTCATGCCTCACAGTCTCAGCACCTCCCAGCTGGCAAAGAAGGAGGAGAGCCTGTGGCTTGGTTAAATCACTGCCTAGTATGTAAACTGCCCAGGTTCGAATCCCATAAAGGGTGTGGCTAACTGAAGAGAGCAGAATGAGCTCGAAATGGCCATCTTAGTCTCCCAATTTAATTCTTTAATTCTTTGTCAGAAAAAGAAATTTGTATATATATATATATATATATATATATATATATATATATATATATATGTGTGTGTGTGTGTGTGTGTGTGTGTGTGTGTGTGTGTAGGTCTTTGGTTATTTGGGTTTTCTCCCGTGTCAAATTGGAAGTGTCTTGGTGACGTTTCGATGAAGTCTCATTTGTCATCTTCAGGCTGG